AAGTATCAAGCGAGTGGCGCAGTGGTAGGTCCCCAAATCCACCTGGGCGAGAAAGATTTTGCTAAAAACCAGTCCCATGCCGTCAGAGGAATCAGCAAAGCCCTCTCCAGAAAACCGCTTTCTGATCTTACTCTACGCCTGTGTGGGCTGCATGGAGAGGGGCTTGTTCCCCCGTCGTCCAGGTGAGGCAACGGTCCAAGCTTGTGACTCCCCCCGCACTTGCAGGGGGAGGATGCAGATCTCTGAAAAGAGCTAATGCCTTTCAGATCCTCTGCCTTCCTCCCCTCAAGAAAAGCAGGTGCTGTGGGGCTCTCCATATCCTCACGGCTGTTACCCTCCGTACCATTCATGTGTCGACGAAGACGTTTCAGCCCTATGCTAGTCGCGAGTAGTTATTTAAACCCCTTGTTCAGTGCTGCTTTCTTGCTGAATGTCTTCTCTCTCCGGCTAGACTGTGAGCTCCATGAAGACAGCGTCTAGCTCTCTGACTTCACAGCACTCACTGTGCCCCGCGCGGTATTTTGTGCCTAACAGGCACCTTAGTGAAAAGTCAGATGACTTGGTAGCTCTGACGACGAGTACCAGTTGGATCACGTTACTGGCAGCGCTTCCGAGGGAACAGATGTTCCTATTCAAATCCATGAAACTGGAAACACTCAAAAAACAACAATCATGACATTGATTGATAGTGATATTTACTGCGTCAGACTGTTTAAGCTCAGCTATAAAATAGACTATCACATACTGTCGTCTTTCCATTTTGATTTCAAAGATTCTCACACATTTAAATAATGTCACTTGACTCAGATCCTAATTCTTGCTTGATGTGCTATGTAATATTTCCTTATCAAATTACGGCTCCGTTCTTCTGAATTTCACACTGAAAGCTTCTCCTTCCTGAGAAAACAGCACCTCTGGGTGCTTTGAAGATATTTTTGGTCTGTTATAAGGAAACATTTATCAGCTGGCAGGGCGTGCACTGCTGAGAGCACAGTGGGTGATGCCGGGCCGGAGAGAGGCGTGTGTTGCTGAGTAATCTGTCTGCAGTCATTTCCCAAATCCGCTGCCTGCCCAACGGGTGGTCATCTTTTGAAATGGTTCATAAAAGGGGGTCTTAGAACCTGAAGCATAATCCTGGGAGCAAGCAAGCCTGAAGGGCTGTCCTTTCTGTCTGATTCAGGTCCTGAGCAGCCATGAGCACCTCGGGTCTGTTCCATTTTCCCGCCCGGCTGACCAGGGTGTGCATAGTGCCATGGGGGCTCCGGCTCCCCGAGAAGCCAGCGCTGCTCTCCCCGGGAACGGTGGTCACTCCGGTCCAGGTGGCAGGCAAGAAGGACCGCCCTGCTTTGCTCTCCCTGGATGAGCGTGAACTCGAAGAGCAGTTCGTAAAAGGACATGGTCCAGGGGGCCAGGCAACCAACAAAACGAGCAACTGCGTGGTGCTGAGGCACATCCCCTCGGGCATCGTCGTCAAGGTAGAGGAAGGAGGCTGTGGGGTCACCCAGTTTCGGCCGAGGTGTGTTCTCACTGTGGCCCGGGCAGTAGAGGGACTGCAGGACTCGTGTTCCGCCCCGAGCCTTCCTCCCGGGGGGAACCTCCTGCACGGCCTCAGGAGCCTCCTTCCGGGATCCTTGCAGCCAGGCTCTGACTGCTGCCGTCCCTGAACCTGGCAGGCACCCCGGTTCTGGTGGAGCCCCCGGGCTGCACACAGCTCTGCGGCAGTGCCTGGGCCCGGTCCCCTGCAGCACGCGGGCCCGGGCTGTCCGCCAGCAGTCTCAGCCCTCAGCCACCTGGCCGGCTGCTCAGATGGGCGCGTCCTCCGTGTCCCTCCGTCCCCTTTGGTAAATGTCAGTGACACGTACCTCTCTGGAGAGGGAGGACTGAGTGAGGTAACAGAAGCAAACCGTTTTCAGCACTCAGAGGAGAAACGCTGGCCACAGGGGGAGTCTTCCTGCTGAGTATAGAAAGCCAAGCTCTGATCAGAGTCCCACCAGCTGTCGGCACGCTGGCGCCCCCAGGGCAGGCTGGTGCGGTGCTTTTTGCTGCTTCTGGTTTGGTTGTGGCCCCGCTGCCTCTCAGTGGGTCTGTTAGTCCACTCTGCACCCACAGGGCCCCGAAGGCAGCACTGGCCTCGAGGTGCAGGGGAGCAAGCAGGGGCAGGTCTCCTTATACCAGCCAGACGACACGGTTAGCAGATACTCACCTCTCGTGTAAGCGTGGCCAGTGCTGTTCTAAGCAAATTCAGTTTGCATGAACTCTTTTAATCCTCAGAGGCCCACACTCGGTGATGTGGAATCTGAGGCACTGCGGTTCCTACAGCTGCAGGAGTCAACTCAGACCAAACCCAAAGTCTGTTCCCAACAGCTGTTCTTGGCTGCCATGTTTTTGAGCCAAGAGCACGCTAGTTAAAACCTCAGTCCCTTTTCTGTTCCTCCTCGGGAAAAGTGGCGTTCATGAGCAACAAACAAAATTCTGAAATGACGCAGTTCATGTGTTTAGCCTGTTTTATATAACCTACTCCACGTCTGCTCTTAGTACTATTCTGTCACCCTAATTTCACAGGATTTCTTTTATCAAATAGCTTTGCAAGGCACCCGCCCATCGTACCGGCACTGTTACACAATGAATATCACAGCTGACTAAAAGCAGGCTGCTCTCCTCCCTCAGACAGAAGTCTGTGTTCATAAATGGTGCACACAAAGGGCCTGTTCCCTGGCCACCAGCTAGACACACTGGTTGATGCTTTAAAAAATATATGGGGAGTTTAAGTCATTTGAAAGCCACTGTTACTTCTAAAAAACACAACACTCCCAATAATGAAACAGTCAGTGAAAGCCATCTCATACAGCTGGGGGGGAAGGCAGGGCCTTCGTCCTGTCACTGACCCGCTGGGACTCCCGACAAGTGGCTTTGCCTCTGCGGGCCTGCCCCCTCTGTGAAGGGTCGAGGTTGAAATTTAATGATTCCTGAGGTCCTGCCCAGAACGCTGGCTTCCACATGATGAAATATCATCTCTTACAGTGCCACCAGACGAGATCCGTCGATCAGAACAGAAAGCTAGCACGGAGAATCCTGCAGGAGAAAGTGGATGTTTTCTACAACGGCGAAAACAGTCCTGTCTGCAAAGAAAGACGAGAGGCAGAGAAGAGAAAGCAAGAAAGGAAAAAAAGAGCAAAGGAAACGCTAGAGAAAAAGAAACTCCTGAGAGAACAGTGGGAATCAAGTAAAACTGCGCCCGGAGAAAGGACTGCAGATTCCGACTGAAAGAACCTGCCGGGCGCTTCCAGGAGCGGGGCTGCGAGGGGAGTGCGTGCCAGGGACAGCCGAGGTCTCACACGGCAAGCGGACTGTGCAGACAGAGACACGAGGACGTCATTTCCGCAGGACAGGGGCCCTTCCGGGGAGGGAGGGTTGTCACTGTGCTGTGGGGCTGGGAGGGGCTTCTGGGCGGCTGGCGGAGTTCTGCTTCTTGACCTGGGCCGGAGTTAGAAGCCTGTCACCTTCTAAGCTATACATCTGTGTGACTGTGTCTTACTGTATCAAATACTAGAAATGAAAATTTTTTTTGAAAAAAAGCATGAATACTAATAAGGAATTTTTTTATGGAAAACTGTAGAACTGAGTCAAACATGAATGGCATTTAGTGCTCCCCTGTCATCTGCTGGGAGGTCACTGGTCAGTGACATGGAGATGTCAGTTAGCCTAACTAGTCAGGTTAAGAGAATAAGAGCAAGCAAGGTGGAGAAGGATTCCACATGTTAGTAAGTCACTTGACCGTTTACCCCATTAGCTCAATGGACTGTGTGCTGACAGGTAACCGCTCTGATGTGGAAATACACGCGTCATTCCGTGTGTTGATTCATAAGAGGTGTTTCAGAAACCTGGTTGTGAATCTGCTTGACACCATCACTCAAGCTGGATTCGACCTTACAGACTGCTGGGGGAGAGGGGCCAGGCAAGGTTAGTAGCTTGATTTGTCAGAACACATCTGGAGTCTACGCATAACACTAGTAGGAAAATGAACCAGGAGGTGAGCAGGCCACTATAATGAGACAGCAGGTCTGCCTCATTTCTTCATGAAGACCGGAGCACATCCGTCCAAGTGAGCTTACCGTTCACGGAAGCCAGTTAAGGCTCTTCTCACCTTGGAGCGGACTGGAAGCTCAGCTCTTCACAAGGCTCTCCGGACCTCTGGTCGCAGTGTGCAGGGCCGTTCCCAGTCCCAGCCTCCTTTTAGCAAGTAGCCAAGCGAAGTATCTGGAGTGGTACACAAAGACCATAACAGCAGTGGGGAATTCGGGGAGCTTCAGACTGGAGGGACAGAGGCTTCGACTTCTGCCTCCTTTCTGAGCCTTCTTGAACTTCCTGTCATGTACATGAAGGAGATGCAGACAGGCCGACTCCCCGGTATCCATTCCTCACCTCCAGCGCTGTCACGGCTGGGACCCAGCCTCAGGCCTGGGAAAGTGACCACATCCCTCATTTCGGTAAATCCTCATTACGTGGGGACCAGTGCCTACGGAATATAGTAAAGATGACCTCAGAGTCCCTTTGGAAGGCACTGTCGGGCCACCACATGGGTTCTCAACACATATGAGGCGGCCCAGCTGACCCAGCACAGGGCAGGTAGCTCTTCCTGTGAGCACAGGATGAAGTAGCTAGCTCGAGTTCAGTAGCTAGCTGCGCTATACAAAAAAAAAAGGAAATGCTCACAGGATAAGCTCCTAAAACCTGCAAGTGGCCTAACTCGGGGTCTGGGGGAAGAGGGTCACACAAAGGGCAGAATTGCCTCCACTCTCGGTTTTGTTCGATGCACACTTACATCCACTGCAGCTAAAATGTGTTATAACGCAGCTTCACCTCACCCCTGCCTTCTGACTCACCCGACACATCCTGTCTCTGACCCGTTGTGCTACTGATACTGTCACACAGAACATTTCTGGGAGCCATTCTTTAAAAACATCACCAAGAATTCAAGGAACCCACATCTTAATACAAGCTGTTAATGAAAATAAGCTTTATTACATCAAGTAATAAATACATACAAAGATGCAAACAGTTTCATTTTGTTCCAGATGTTTGGATCAACTTACAGGAAAGGCGGAACTGAAATCTACATACAGTCTTAGGGAAGCTTCCAGGGATCCTTGTTAGGTTTGGTTTGGGAGGTTGCTCTTTCTTCTGTATTTATAACTTGTGCATTTTAAAAGTGGACTTCAAAGCACTAATAGTCATGCAAATGCTTAAGCAAAAAAGAAGTTACATTAAGCAGAACCTACACTGTATGGCAAAGGGAGGGAGGGGGGACCGGCTACTAGGTTAAGTGTGCTGTCAGTCCGCACTACAACAAGAAACCCTTCAAGTTGTATCAGCTTATGAAAAGGTACGAAGAACAATCTGAATAACATAAATGTATTCAAAACAGGAGAGCAAGACACCGGTACCTTGGAGGCAAACTAGTCTGCTGTAAGACAGGTAACTTTTACGTGCATCTTTTGAATCAATGCTTTAAAGAAAAACAAACCTGGGTAGATCCTAACTATTTAAAATGTAAACCCTAATCAACTGCAAAATCGTTCCTTAATCTTACAGACTGTAGCTTCGGAGCGTAGTGAGCCGTGAGAGGGGCACAGAGAAACCAAACTGTTACCATTTTGAAAACAAAGTTTCATCTGAACAGGGGAGATGAACTGTAACTTCCCTCGGAAGATGGAAAACCTTCCAGGCTCCCAAGGCAGCTAGGACCTGGCATTCCGTTCCGTTTCAGCCAAGCACTCCCGCACCAGTCCTCTAGCGTGGATGATGCCTGGAAGAGAAGCAGAGGCCGGCGTCAGCCAACAACACCCATTCCAGAAGAGGAGGAGGGTCCTTCTGCAACCAGCCGAGAAGCCCTCAAACTGGAAGGGAACTCGGATCTGCAGTCCGACCACCCAAGGATTCGAGCGGCTGGAAGAGGCACTACGAATCCTATCCTACCCCTCAAAGCCAAGACTCCTTTGTGTTTCCCTAAAATTTCCTCCTGTGCTAAAGGTGACCGTCCCTGCAGTGGTGTCTGCACTGTTACCCTCCGCCAAATTTTATCTCTGTGGTTTAGAGTTATTTAGTGTTCATTGGGGGGTTTTGTTTTGGGGGTTTTTGGGGGGTTTTTTTGCCTTTACTGAACTTAGACACCAAGAATCCACTCCTTCTAAGAGTGGACCCCTCAGGACATTGGGAATGACACCTCACGTCACTCAGGTGTCCCCGCCTCGCCGACCTGCTCTCCCAGCGCTTGCGCTGCTGTCACAGCTCCTCCACTCGCCGTCGAGCCATGAAGCCACAGGCATTACATAAGCCGCGGGGGTGGCCATGTTCCAGCAAGTCTTTATTTACGGACACTGAAGTTTGAACATCACGTAGTTTTCACATGTCCCAGAGTTTTACTTTTTTCACCATTAAAAACCGCAAAAAGCATTCTTGGCTCACGCTTGGCGCCTGACTCCCTCGCGCCCTATGACCTGTGTTACTTGCTGTGACAGAAACTTGGCGAGCGTGCTCCAGCTCCTGGTCAGGGTGACTGTGGGACCAGCTGCTCATCCCGGATGTGCCCTGGAGCAGCCACCAGCCACACGCGTGTGTTGACCTGAACTGCGGGCTTTGTTGGGTGACCGCAGAGCGCCTGTCAGACCCTGGGGTCCGGTGTTTTCCCAGGTGTTTCCATTTGGGGAACCAGCTCTCTAGTTACCAGGACTGCGGGCAGAGCCGTGCCCACCTGACCCCGGGACTGGACTAGGGTCAAGGTCCTTCTCTCCCCACAAGCCCTCTTCCATCCCAGCCTCTGCCTGCCAGTCCCCCTCCCCATCCCCCGCCTGTCATCGCCCAATCCAGCTTGGCAACCAGTCAGTCTCTTCACAAAGGTTTCATGAACCCAGTAAAGCCCACTGCTTTGGGTAGGAGTCTGCCCTCAGCCGGCCTCGCCCACCGCCGTGGAGCCGTGGCCTGGACAGCGGCACCCCTGTGCACCCCAGTGCGCCCCAAACTTATAACCACAGAATGTTCCCTTCTCGCTTTCCTTCCAAGTTGCTTCTCTAACCTTTGGGGGGGACGACCCAAATCCCTCCTGAGATTAAATTCACACATAGGCCACCGTGCTCTGAACTGCCACCTTCTAAAATAGAAACCCTTTTCTCCCCTCCACTCCCCTTTCACTTCACGAGGGAGCAACCAACCTATTTCCCTTCCTTCTGAAGTTAGCTGGTCAGTCGCATCTTCACGTGAGTCACTCTTCTCCCGTGGTACCATCCTCCCGCCCTCTCTCCCCTCTTCAGTCATGAAAGAACTTCAAAGCGTTCTTCCTCTCCCTCCCCAGACTAGGACGGACCACACACCCCCCTTCCAAAGAGGAGAGCAGAGGGCAACAGGGCCCGCGTCACTGGCCTCGCCCAGAGGAGGGAGCCCGCTGTCCTGGGCCACCCTGGGCTCCCTGGGCCCAGCGTCAGCCAACAGGCGCGGAGCCAGCCCGAAGCAGAGCTGCAGGATCTGGGTACAAAGACTCCCTTCGAAGGCAGGTGGACCCTCCCAGGAGCATGTAGGGCGAGGCAGGCTCACCCGCTACGGCTTCCCTTCTTCCAGGCCCCGGCTGCCAAGCACCCCTCACCAGACCCTAAGGAGAGCACAGACCTGCTCTCCCTGCCTGATGTCTCCCCATCCAATGGTAATTCTGTAACAAAACGGGAGCCCCTGTGCCACGGGGGACTCTTCCACCAGCCATCCTCTGTCTTCCCCAGAAAATCTTTCAAGACAGCTAAAGAGCCAGTGCTCTGGGGTCACCCAGCAGGAAGGCGTCACCCGTCAGGGGCGTCCAGGGCCCACGACGTACCCCGTTTTAGTCTCTCCATCGCGCTCTTGCTGCCCGCATAGGTGGGTCTGATCTCCTTCCCCAGTTCTTCAATGATGGCCAGCAGCTCAGCGTATTTGCTCTGGGGCACCTGGCTGCTCCCAGTTCCCTGGAATCAGAAAGAAGAGGGTTCAGATGGATTGAACCCTAACCTGATCCCAATACCATGGTCAGGACCCCACTGCATGCCAGCTGCAGCAAGGGAAGGGCCGGGGAGAGCACCGAGCCCAGGGACAGGCTGGTGGAGAGAGGGAGGCCTGGCTCAGACTCCCAGAGCTGCTGCTTCCACTGGGGCCAGGCCCATCCCCTGTGGGGCACAACCAGAGACCAGGGAGCAGGCCCGCTCTACTGTCCCTGTACACTCCGCAGTCTCCAGAAAGCTCTTTCATCATCTCAAATGAAAAAAGAGGAGGACTGGCTTATTGACAAGGAAAGGTTCACTGAGAACTTCCTAAGCAGCAGCCGGAGAGGTGGGCAAGTGTATCCTGGGAGCTGAGGGCCCAGAGTGGGTGAACGAGATGGAGGCCATATTTGAGTTAGCACGACCACAAAACTTGCCGAAGTCCATCCAGAGCGAGCCCAGAATGTGTTTAAACTCATCCATCCTCCCCCACCAGCAGGGCCCACCCCACAGAAACCCCTCCTCTCCAGACCCCCACCAAGAGCCTGAGCAAACACCCAGATCAGTGAGGCTGGGTGCCTGCAGGCCTGAGGGCCGAGGCCGCCTGCCGGGGACTCACCCTCTCCTCCCCCTAAGCCCCACTTCTCCTCCCACAGCCACCATTTCCTCCATCGAATCCCTCGCCTGCTCCTCCCTCCTCTGCTTCCTGGCCTCCGGGGCCTTCCTCCTCTCCTCAGCATCTTCCAGGCGCCTCCTCTGGGCCCCACGGGCCTCCTGCCTCTCCTCCAGCCACTGCCTCATGGCCGGGGTGCTGCGGGGCCTGTCCAGGCTGCACTTGGCCCCAGCCTCCTGCCATCGCTTCCTCAGGGGAGCCCGAGCCCATGCCCACTTCCCCTCCAGAGGCCAGACGGCCTGGCGGGGCATGGCCACGAGCCACCACCGTATCCCCAGGGCCGGCCTCCGTGGCAACCTCGGAACACCAGTTCCAGCCCCAGGAGAGAATCTCACCACTGGCGGCCCTGGCACAGAGGGCAGGGCCTCACGGGTCCCCCCTACGTGGCAGCACCTCCCTGGTGGCAGCACCTCCCTGGCAGCAGCAGCCGTGGCTGGAGCTGCGGCTTACCCCACCCATGCACCCACCAGCCCAGTCAGGAAACCGGTCTTGGTGAGGTTACCAAGGACGGGGTCACAGTCCTGTAACTGGTGGAACCAGGTGTAAACCCACCAGCTCTCAATGAAACCCACCTGGACTCCACTAGTATGTGGGCCCCATCCTCTTTGCTGGGGCCACACCTGATGGGGAGTGGGTGGGAACGGGGTCCCCTCTCCTGTCCAAGCTCAGAGTCAGAGTTAAGGCCAGGCCTCACTTCCCCAGGGACCAGGCACAAGGAGACCCACCAAGGACATATGTCAGGTGGTGGCCCCAAGAGAAACTGTGGCTCTTAGGGAGAAAATTCTGGCCTTCCTTAGGCTCTCCCACCCCTTCCCGTCACTCAGTGTCCCCCAGGAAACTCCCTGCCACCCCTCCATTCTGATGCCTCAAGTCCTGAACATGAACCCAGGCAGGGTCCCGGGCTGAGGAAGCTCGGACGACTGCTCCATTCCATCGTGTCCACTCCTGGATGGCAGGGAGCAGGTGCCCTCGGTACCCAGGCCATCCACGGGTTCCCCTCCCCGCACACCACCCCCGCTGTCTTACCTGGGTGTAGCCTAGCGATGGTGGCCCGTAGTCACTCAGCAGCTGGCGGTACTGTGAGGACGTCGCCATACTGGTGGAGGGCGGGTGGACGCTCCCAGCTATGGGAGAAGAGACGGGAGTCGGTAGTTAAGTAGCCTCAGCCAATTGTACCCAGTGTAAGGACTCTGAGTCCCAAAACAGTCTCCCTGCCCGAGACTCATGCAACCAACAGTGGTCTTTTGTCTTCGAGGGTAGAGAACCCTACTCCTGTCCTCTAGTTTGGCCATGGCTGACACTTGGCCTAGATGACTGATGATAAGCTGTAGCCAACAGGCCGCTGCTCTTTACACCCATCAGAGCAAACATCACTAATCAACCACAGGAATCCTTCCCATCCATGCAGTTAAGACTGTTACTAAAGATGAAATTTGCTGGTTATTCCCAGCCTAAACCTTGGCAGTCCCCTTTCCCTGGATCCTGCTCCCCAGAGGGTGATATCCTAGAGCCACCTGGCTGCCGCAAGAGCCCACTTGCTACTAAGACTGGTCCACACCTGGGCTAAGACTTCCTGTGTGTCCAAACCTGTGCTGGGCTAGACGGTGAGAAAGATGGAGGAAGGTCTGGAGGTTCTGAGACCTAACCCTGGTCAGAGACTGGTGCACTGGACACAAAATCAGGAATCTGGAGTACATCACAGCCTGTGTGTCCTCAGACAAGCCCCTCAACCCTCTGAGCTCCCACTGCCCCTCGCCTAAGAAGGGACAAGACTCTTGACGGCGTGAGTCTATGCCTGGATGGCTTGCACCCCACAAGGGGAGGAGTAAGACTCCACTTACAGACTGCAATACTGGGAGACACTGGCCCTCAGCAGAGGGACCACGTGGGGCTTAGAATGGTGTCTCCTGGATAGGGGATGGGGAGGTCCTCAGCAGGGAATTTTCCAGCTCCAGCTCAGTAGCTGGAAGCATGCAGACCCATAATGGCGTCCGAGTGGCCATTAGTGGGTAAAGGATGTCCTGCAGAATTACAAACAGCGGTAACCATGGAGAATTTACCTAGCCCTCCTCGGCAGCTGCCCGCCTGCCTCCACGCCGGGCCGGGGAGCAGCTTCCCCTCTGCCTGCCGCCCCTGGAGCCAAACGGTCTCTCTCTCTCACGCATACAGCGGGCTCTGCAGACTTGGCCCCGGGGATGGACAGCTGGTGCCAGGCCGGCCAAACCAACCAGCTGCTCATCTGGTGCGGGCAAGGGGAGGGGCAGGGGAGGAAGGAAGTTCAGGAGCTCAGGCTGATGGAGCTGGAAGGGGCCCTGGAACCCCTCACCGTAGAGACACAGACCAGAGAGGGTGGGCGCTGCCCAAGGCCACACAGTGCAGAAGAGGCTAACACCACCACACCTGTCCCTCTGTCCAGGAGCTGGGGACAGATGTCTCCTCAAGATGTCTTCCTTGGTCTCAGGCCTGCCCTGGATTTCTCCCTGGGGCCCAGGTTTATGCTCAAACACAGGAGGCCCTGTCAGGAAACATGGATTCTGCCACCTCTAAGCTGGGAACTGTGAGGCACAGCTGCTCCGAGCCTCACTGCCCCGTCTCTGAAGTGGGGATGTTCAGACACCTGTGCCACAGAACTACAGGCACGTCTGTGACCTCCGGGTGAGGCAACTGTGAGTGTGTGGGGGCCAGAGCGCAGGAATGGGGCAGGGTGAGTGCACCCCTCACCACATCAGTCAAACCCCAATTTCCTGACCTTCTTCTGACGCAGGTGGTAAGTGCGGTCTGGGCAGCTCGGCCTTTACAGCCCCAGGCCAGGGTTCAAGCCCCGACCACTACAAGTTATTACACTTCTCTACAAGGCCAGGGATGCTAAATGCAAGACTGGAGGGCGATGGGGGATGTGCTGCAGTGCTCAGCACTTCACATCATCTAGAAGATTCCAACTCCCTGGCAGGAGATGAGAAGGACACCGTCCAGGCATTCCCTGCACCACCTCCTGCCCTCCTCCTCTTGCCTCGCTGACCCATCTTCTCTCGTATGGGCAAGGGCTGGGACCAAGAGCCAGTTCAGCTGTGCCACACCTGGTGTGTGACCCGAGACAAGGCCCTTCTCTCTCCGGGCCTCATTTTCTCCACCTGTTTGAGGCAATGGCTCCCAAAAGAATGTCTAGAGACTAGATCCTACTCCTCCATGGTGCTGGGGTTAGGTCTTGAGGGGCTCAGGGAGAGAGGGAGGAATGAGATCTTGGTCAGGGGCCTGGAGGCAGGTGAGAGTCGAATGATCAGCTCGAGGCTTCACTTTCCCATGGCCTGGGTGATGTGGCAGGTGACCCTGATTCTGTACCGGTGCCAGTCTCTTACTGGGTATTGAGAGGGGGGTGTCTGTGGCCCTGGAGAAAGTTGGCGGGAGGACCCCGAGTTCCACTCATGCCCCCTCCTTCCTGCAGGCACAGGGAGGGCCAGCAGTCCAGCTGCCGGAGGCCAGGGAGAAAACCAGACTGGGCGTGAGCACTGGCGTCTCGGAGCATCGCAGACAATG